TAATGAAACGAAAAAAAATAATGCATGCCAAACTTTTATCTATTGTAATATTATCTATGGTTATTTCAAAGTTTTACTCTTGCATCAAGCAACTGTGCCATTTCCCCAACAGTCCTGTCTTTAAGGACTAACACTTTACTTGAGGCAAGATGCATAAACTTGAACTCCCTGGGCTATAACTCAATTGTCACTGCTTGTGTGTCATACTCATTGGCACCTGCAAAACAGAATAATATAATAAGAATAACATCATGATGATATCAGATATCATATTTCATTTGGAGCCTTAAATATTAAACAAGGCATAAACATGAAAAATGTCACCACCCGCCATTTGTTACAGACGCTGAACGCCGACCCCAGACGCTAAACACCGTACATAAAAAAGTTGGAGACTTTAACAATATGTGACCACTTTTGGTGGTGACATAAAAAGGGGAAGTCCCGTCTTAATAAAACTCCTGATTTCCAGTTTTTTGTAAACATACACCATTGCATGTTGATGGTTCGCATGACCTGCAGGTCACGATGACAAATGAATGTTACGTTGTCAATAGAATGTAGGCTAACTAACTTTCACGTAAGGTAGATTCCCCGGGTAGATTCGCGAGATTCGTGATTATTCCCCCGGGATTAGGCTATTCCAAAGCAAACACCAAAGATACCAAATCGAACTCCCAATGAATTATTGATCGTATCTATCCTAGGGCCTATCATTTCAATGTAATTTAAAGGCTTACAGGGGTGCTTCAAAATCATCCCTGCGGCCCAAGAGTAATTCATTGCATTGTGACATTCATGAGCTGCTATGAAAGCAGTGAAGGACCGATCTTGAAGGATGCTTCAAAATCGGGTTCAAATTGTAATATTGAGGCCTACTAATCTTTCATAACACGTGACGCATTCTATATTAGCATTAAGAAATGAGAAATGGGCGTAGGAGCGGAGTAACCCTACTATCACACCAAACTAGTTCTCACTACGTTCTCGAAAACGGGCTTCAACTGTGTACGAACGGACTGGACCTACTAAGAACCGTTTGGGATCTATTTACAAACTTCATCGAACGTACTCGAACGGGTAGGTCCTCTAGAACTTAGACAATGCTCAAAATCTTCTCGTGGTCGTCACGTTCTACAATTAGAACGAGTGACAACGTACTAACGACGAGCTGGACGTACTACGAACAGAACCGTCGTACTTCAATCCTACTAGGGACGTTTTAACAACGAGTCGAACTGTCTGAGGACGTGTTGAGAACGACGTAGAACTAATTGCAAACGGGTTTAAACTGATTAAGAACGTATTTAACACTGCTTATGAAAGAGTTAGCAAAAATATAGCTATCACACCAAACAAGTTGCCACTGCGTTCTTCAAAACTGGTTTTAAACTGTGTGCGAACGGAATGAACGTAGCTGCAACTTTCTAAGGTCTATTTACGAACTTTATGAACGTTCTCAGACGGGAATGTGATTTTAGAATTTTGAATCGATTCAAAGTTCGATGGCGACCATACCGTTCTGTAATCAGGTCATGTTGACCTTCTGAACTAAGGGACGCGTTCTACGACGTTGCACACCGACGTGGTGCGACCTGAACGAACTGCGAACGAGATGGACGTATTGAAGACTGTTTAAGAACGAAGAAGCTAATTATTTCAGACATATTTCCCGACCACAGCCAGATTGAGCCCGTTTTACGACGTTTTCGTAGGACTGGCAAGAACGGGTAAGAACTAGTTTGGTGTGATAGGGGGGTAAGAGACCCAGGATAAGAAGAACCATTGGGCAAGATGGCCCACCAAGTTTGTTTATCATCAAATATACATCGCCTGATATTATCTCCTGACAGGGACAGCATCGATCTCAATGGCCATTGCACTTTGTTTCATTTAGGCGGCACCTTCTCCAAGAAGAAACTCTTTTAACGGCACCACTTCTGTAAGTCTGTGGTAAAAAACCTCCCGTCCGAAGAAGTTATCTTACAGAACGGCCCCTTTTGACCCTCGGGGGCCCTTCTTGCCCTGCCATGGCCACACAAAACCATTTCCAGTAGTGACATTTGCGAGTTAATACCAATAAGAATAAAACGGACCGAATAAAACCAATGTCCTTTTTTCAATAAACATGGCTACATGTATATTTAAAGTTTATATACCCATTCGGGGAAGACAATATAAATAAAACAATGTATTTTAAATTAGCACACAGAACAACTTTTAAATAATTACACATTTTTATTAAATTTTTCGAATTCATTTGGTACGCCTGTGCGCATTTGGCGTAATATATGCGATACGCCAATGTGAGTGTTAAAATAGAAACATACACATCAATTCCAATTTTCGTTTGATTCCTGTATGATTCCTGAAGGCTGGATTCATTTGTAAACTATATTGCATATGAATCCTGCTTGAATCCTGGCTACAGGATTCATTTGCAAACTACCTTCTATATGAATCCTGTACGAATCCTGAAGGCTGGATTCATTTGTAAACTATATTGCATATGAATCCTGTATGATTCCTGAAGGCAGGATTCATTTGCAAACTACCTTCTATATGAATCCTGTACGAATCCCGAAGGCTGGATTCATTTGTAAACTATATTGCATATGAATCCTGTATGATTCCTGAAGGCAGGATTCATTTGCAAACTACCTTCTATATGAATCCTGTACGAATCCTGAAGGCTGGATTCATTTGTAAACTATATTGCATATGAATCCTGTATGATTCCTGAAGGCAGGATTCATTTGTAAACTATTTAAACAGCGAATCCTGTATGAATCCTGGAGGCAGGATTCATACAGGATTCATATGTGCATATGAATCCTGTATGAATCCTGACTCCAGGATTCAGTGGTTTGATTCACATTTTTTGCTGTGTTTACCTGTGGATTATAATGGTGTTAAATAGGATAGGATTGACCAGAATATTTAAATTGTTTTTGTAATTCAATTTGTTACAAATTGTTTCCAAATTTTGCTTAATTTAGGTCTAATCTGTAAATACGTAGCAATTTAGAAACCGATGTCAAATTGTGGTGAAGTCATATTACCCCAAACAAAAAAAATTGAGTGTCACAAATTGTTTCAATTTGATGTATGCCAAATTTCATGAGAAAATTCTCATTGGATTTTTTTCTACAACACATTAAAGTAGGCGACAAAATTGTGTGTGGGGTACTATATATATATAACATATACAGTATACATAATTAAAGGAATAATAGTGTTTAATGATGGATGTTTAATGATAGAAGCAATCGTAAATAAAAATCATGTCAATGTTTTCATTTACAGCACTAATTTTTCTGTGAAAAAAAGAGTTAAGATATCTGATAATATAAGTTATTGAAGAGAAGAGTAGAACAACATTCATTAGAATTGAAAGGGGATCGTCTTCTTGAGAGATCGGGACACCTAAATGGCAAATGTTCTTATTTTTTGGATTGTTATATTCACAAATAATAGGTCACGGAAGGGGGCAATAATGCTATGAGCATCGGTCCTCCACAATCATTGCATAAACTTATATAATATACTATGCAAATAAAAATGATTAACATATGAAAAAGCCCATGGAAGATTCTCATTGTTCTCATATTACAGAGTGGGGTAAAAAACGTTCATATTTATTTTCGCTTTAACCTTTTTGAAAACGCATGGATTTCAAAAAAATGTTGGTAGGATATGCAGTAACCAGTTTTACATTTGTTCCCGAAGAGGGATAAATAAATCTTTCCATATCAGAATATTATTCAAAGCAACAATTTTATCCATCCTGATAAATGTAATGTGATGATTTTCGGAAATAATCACCACGCTGTACAGCCTACGTTCAAAATTGGCGACAAGCAGGTGACTATTGTGCAAAATCAAACCCATGTAGGTATACCCTTATCAACTAGTGGAAGCGTTTTCGTATATGTTGAGAAGGCGGTTACGTCTGGTAAAAGGAAATATTTCTCTCTACTTGGTCTAGGGAGTACTTGTGGTGGACTCAATCCTCTAACGGCATCACGCCTTTATTGGACGCTGTCTATCCCTACAATACTATACGGTAGTTCAATCATTTCTTATTCGAATAATGATGTTGAATTAATCCAAACAGCCCATAGGCAGATTGGAAAACGCATTCAATGTCTTCCTAAATTTGTTGATAATGTATTTTCAACTGATCCACTGGGCTGGATGGACATCGAGTATAAAATCGCCTTAGATAAATTAATGTTCTTCCTTATGTTGATAACACTACCGGTAAAAAATATTTATAAGCAGGTCTTTCTTTATCGAGCTACGGAATTCCAATATAATGGTCACGGTGGTGCTGCGTCACCACTTAATACAATATGGAATGTTTTAAGCAGATTTAATATTTTAGATGCTGCAACTAATATGATAAACACAGGTGTCTACCCATCAAAGGGAATATGGCGTAAATTAGTTTTAGGTAGGCTACGTCAAAGCCAGAATGCAACGTTTATGATTAAATGTGCTATAAAAAGTGCAACACATTTGTATGTAAGTGTAAAATGCTTTGCTCAGCCACTTAAATGGTGGACACTCAGTTTCAAATACCCTAGAGATTTAAAATATTGTAAATTAATGGTCAATTTGCTTATGAACCAAACACTCAATGGAAATAAAAAATGGGGTGACAGAAAATGTAATATATGTGATACTGGCGAAATAGAAACATTGGATCACTTTTTACGTTTCTGCAATTCCATAGATGCGGAAAGAGTTGCACTTCTCAATTTATTTAGAATTGGTAATGATGACATTATATTTCAAACTTTCAAATCAGACAATGATGAAGCAATGATTTTAAAAGCCAAAGCTGTATTTCTAATGTATGCAAAGCGTAACATGCTTATGCAAATGTGATTTTATTGTTAATGCAAAACAAAAATTGTAAATGTACTCACAATATATACTTGTGGTAATAAAGGATACAATACAATTTTACACCATTGGATTTCAAGTCTACTCACTTTGGCGAATCGCATTTTCTCAATCGCTTCATGATTCCGCCACCACATGTATGTGAACAGCCACTCCATGGGCCCCATGATCCCCAACCTCCAGGGACTACCATAGGATGTCCAAGGTTAGAAGCGATATGGCTTGGGTCCTTATCCCAGGCGATGCAACCAGCACCACCTCTGCACCACTATCATGAGATTCAAAATATAATGTAGTTGCTTTAAACTGAGCAAACTAAAGTTACATAGATTTAGTATGTTTCTTTATGAAAATAAGTGACATATTTTGGGGTTCCAATACTCCATTAAAAGTGTGACAGGAGTTTCATCTTGAAACATCTGGCCTACTTATGGAACCGAATTTGTTACAAAATTGTCTACTTGTCTAATTAATCAGTGCCACGGGGTCTCATGTAATCGATTTAGTCACACATTAATTGTTCAATTAGAGTTAGTAATGCTGGACTTTTTGAGACTTTATGTCACTGTAAAAAGTATGGCTTGGGAAAATTTGTTTATGGTTCAATACTTGAATTAAATCTTACAAACTGTGGACTAAAAAGAAAGAATGCTTAAAAGCCCCCGATAAATCGGGCTACGTATACCGCCGTGTTTACATTAGGGGATTAGAAGAGTTTATTTTTTATTTAGGTATGCAAGCTACGTATATCAATATTAGGCCTTCATTCATGTACTCGTGTGCATGTAATCAGCATGCCCTTCAATATTATGTAAACCAGGCTATTCAAGTATAATGTACACTATTTATGTGTGTACTACATACAATACAATTCCCTGGGAAACAAAACACAAATACGTTTTATATGTTCAAAATGAGCCATTTGATTGATGCAAACACTAAATAGCTTCATAAATAACATTTACAAAGTATATCTAATAGTAATTTTCAATTTCAATGTTGAAACTTCCCTGGTTAAGATTATATGGGAAATCATCACGAGACGAAGATCGTTCACCTTCCTGGCTTACCTCTGAATCGTGTACCGGGCAATCTCTTTATATAGTTTAGCGAGAGCGGTGCGCCTGCGCAGTTTTAAACTTTGGCGCACACTTTAAGGTGAAGCTGGGTGAAAAAATGGGCGTGGCTAAAAGATCAAATGTTAAAATCCATACTTTTCGTCATCATCTTGCAATATTATAACATTAATTCAATTTGGTCACTCAAATAGTTCACACACTTCCTACCTGATACAAAACAGATTATTCAAGGAGGTTGAAAATTGAGCTAGTACATTATCTTAAAGTACCCTTATCTTTCTCATGGTGACCCGTGGAACTAATTGAATGCTTTAAAATTGTTAACACAATGTAAACCAAAAGTAAATGATTTGGTTGACAGCCGTTTACAGGGTTCTAATGGACGCAAGCTAAATTCGATGGACTAAGACTTGGAAAATTAACTTTTAAACTCTGTGAATTTAATATGTGTGTCACTAGACCAAAACAGGTTGTTTTTCAATCGGATTCAATAGGATGTTGCCCTAATTATCATACCTTTTTTCCTCCACACCAAGTTCCTTGAAGAGTCAGCATATTTTCCACTTTCCTAATTTCGTAGGTCGATAGGTTGATACAGTGTTGAGTTCGAGATGAACATATATCCTAGGAAAATATAAACGATAGGCTAAAGTAATTATATTTCACGTTTCAGTCGAAGAATATAGCAATATTTCAAAGGGCAAGATAGTGAATTCTTGGCCCGAGGACCAAGATTATGTTGCCCACAAGCAAATCTTGTAGGTCTTGACAAGACACGCCCTCCCTGTGAATGGTGATCAAAGCTCAAAGGAAGGAGTCAACTAACATTATTTAAGTTACAGTAAATTCACAATTTTTGAAAGATATGTAAATGTCTAGTCAGTCTACCTACCATCCATTTTATTTATTCTTTTGAAATCGGCGATCAAATTATATACAGTATATATATATATCATATATAAAGGTGTTCCAGATGTCATTAGAATTTTTGAGGGAGATATAAAGCAACGTTTTTTTGTCAAATTTGGAGCACTTATTAAGCAAACATTGAGGAATGATAAGTGACATCAATTTCGGCCTCATAGCTGTTCATTTTACACACCCTCACAACTGTAAAAGCAGTGTTTTAATTGTATTGGTTTAGCTTTTTGGCACATAAGTTAATGATATCATACACATGTATAGCTAAAGTCACTCCTCAAAGTAATTTCCCTGGTTGTCTATTATCTGTTGGTGCCTTATCAACCACTCCTTATACACCTTCCCAAATCCTTTCTTCTGGAGATTCCCTTCAAACAGCATGACGCCTCTTCTGTTTCAACCACATGGCCTGCTTATCGTTGTTAAAATTTTAAAAATGCAGCTGTTTTGAGCATGATTAACTCAATTAAGGTCCCCAAAGAAATAAAAGTCTAGTGGAGCAGAATCTGTGAGTATGGTGATGTACATAAAGTTTCAATAGAAAGTATATCCAACTTATGCAAAAGCTAATTCAGTACAATTAAAACACCGCTATTACAGTTGAGAAGGTGTGTAAAATGTACAAAATGTGACGATAACTCCAGGGCAATATAGTGAAATATTGGAAAGAGGACCGAAGGCAGAAATGACCAGGATGAAGGGCCGTTAAGAAAGGGGACCATAATCCCTGGGGGACCATCATTTCTTTGACACCGGCAAGGTGTATATCCATTATGCTATGCTTGTCACTACGGCCCGCGATCAAGAACACTCTTGGACCAGGTCCCACAGGATAATAATCGGGTGTAATGTGTTTATTATACTCCAGATGGAATCTCTAGTCCATTGTATTTTCATCATTCTTTTTGTGTTCAGTTGCAACCACCTTAGTATTTTATGCTTGAAAAGGATGAGTTACTAAATTCAATTTAACAAAATTGAACAACAAACGACTGAATACCTTTCTCGTTCCATATACGAATTTGCGATCCCCTTCGTCTTGAAAGAATGACCAGCCTTTACCGAGGTGAAGCTCACATTGTTTATCCATGTCCCATCGTTGTCCTTCCATATCAGTATCTTCTAACATCAAAGGTTCTTGGTAGTATTCATACACATCATCGTAGACACACGCACCAGGGCCAAGGTCTCTGATGAGTTAGATAATGAATAACATAATTATAGAATTGCATATGAATTAAAGCCGGGAAGTCTGGTTATTTGACACTACCAACACAATATATCACTTAATGCAAAAAGCAAATTTAGTCGTGCGGATTATCATTTGGCACAAAGTTGAAAGACAATATAGTCTAGCTTTTAGAAATGCTCTTGGTTTGTAATTTGATTTTTTAATAAAGCTGTAATGCATGCATTTAGACCATCGCTTTTGTTACATTGACGTAAGTCGTCCAAGTAACATACATTGATATATAACGGACTTTCGTCAATGTAACAAAAGCGAGGGGCTAAATATATGAATTGCAACTTCATTTACAAAACAAATTCCAAATCGAAGAAACTTGTTAAAACTAAACTATATTTTCTAGCTTTGTGCCAAATTATTAGACTCCAGATGAAAATCCTCCATACAGATTTTCTCACCAACTATAACATCTCACTTAAACCAACTTACATGGTTAACTAAGGAATGTTTCTGGCTTTCTGGGAAATTAGGTCAAATTTGTTTCTAGGTCAAAGGTCAAGAACTAGGTCAAATCTTACATTTTCAACATTCTTTCAATTATCTTCTTCGATAATTATCGGAACTCCTTCATCTTTTTTTCATTATGTAGTTAAGAAATAGCCGAAGCAAAGATATGACATTAGATTTTTGATAACTTTTACCGATTTTTAAATATGGCGTCCGGAAAGTAGGTCAAAACAAAAAATTCTCAAAATTCAAGGTGTGAGTTATGAAATATATGTAGGATTTTCTCAGGAATCTGAATCTGCAAACCAAATTTCAATCCGAGTTCCGGTTCGAAAGTTATGGCGGTTTGAAGTCTCAAAAATCGCTTTTTTGGTGCCCCATGTTTTTTTTTTTTTTTTTTTTTTAAATTAAAATCAATGTAACATATTTACAGGTTTTAGTGGCTATGACCCCCAAGAGGGAGTATTAGGTGCCACATAATGGTATTTACAATGATTTGTTCAATATTATAAAAAGTGTACATGTTATTTTGTAAAGTATGATCTTGTACATAATTGAGAAAATAAAGTGATTTAATGAAAATGATTAAAGGTCTCTTCTACAATAACAGGTGCAACAATAAAATGTGTAGAGTAAGAGAAAATATAATATCAAAATTACATTATTAAATATTATGATATGATAACATCTGATGAGATTGTGCAGTAGTTCAAGGAACTACTCCTCCAAGTATAGATTGCAGTAATAATCTTTAAATGACTTTTTGAGAAGTCAATGGGGCTGAAGAAAATTATAAATTGGAAAAACACGGTATTTAGACTTAATGCAGCCAACATAATGAAAGCCTACAAGAACAATTGACCTCAAAATCTACTTTGTCTCAAAATTTGAACACTAAAAAGCCAAGGTCAAAATCTAGGTCAATGTTTGAGTTTTTCCTTAACTTTGCGAATCTGACACTACACTTTAATAATATTCCTTGAAATTTGGTATACAGATAGCAAAAAGTATGCTAATAGTGTTAGCCTTTTGCCGTCAGGAAGTATTTTGACCCACTTTTGAGATATGGTGTCCGGAAAGTAGGTCAAAATAAAAAGTTATCAAAATTTAACATATGAGCTATGAATTAAGGGTAGAATTTTCCCAGGAATCCGAATCTGCAAACCAAATTTCAATCCGACTTTCGGTTCGGAAGAAATGGCGTTTTGAAAGCTCAAAAATCACTAAATTTGGTGCCCTATGTTATGTCAATGAGACACTTTTTGAAGTGTAAAATACCAGATATAAACTGAGTACAGCTTACCATTCTGAAAGCCTATAAAAGAAGGGAACCTCGAAGGCTATCTAGCTTTAAAATTTGGACACCAAAATGCCTAGGTCAAAATATAGGTCAAATTCATAGTTTTCCCTTATTTTTGCGATTCTGACATTACACTTTATTGATTTGCTTCGAAATTTTGTATACAGATACAGGTAGCAAAGAGTGTGCTTATAGTGTTAGCCTTCTGCCGTCAGAAAGTATTTTGACCCACTTTTGAGATATGGTGTCTGAAAAGTTCTCCAAATTTAACGTATGAGTTATGAATTAAGGGTAGAATTTTCTCAGGAATCAGAATCTTTAAACCAAATTTCGATCCAACTTCTGATTAGATAGTTATAGCGGTTTGAAGTCTCGAAAAGTCGATATGATGATATCCCCATGTTAAGCCAATGGAGTCGAAGATAACATTCTTAAGAGTTGTCTAAATGTCTATATTCTAGCTGACTCAGCTTATTCTGAATGACTCAGCTTACAAGAATTTAGCTTAAAAAAAAGTCAGAAATCTGGAGTCTTAAATTGAACTTGTTCAATTTACATGTCTAGTTATTATTTCATTTTGACCGTTCTTTAAAAGACTCCAGTCACATTGACTTCCTTGCTGAAAAGTCTAAACGAATTCAAGGTATGATAGTGTGACAAAGTTTATTTTTAGGTCATAGAGTTTTGAAACTTAGGTCATAATAATCTTGAATATGCTACATATTGCTTACAAATACAGAAATCTTAGGATAAATACTTCTGTTGTGCTGATATCATCATTACAGCAGAATGTTTTGGGAACTGGTAGCTTTGTTTACTGAAGAGGTTGAAGATGCATCATTTCTTGGCAAGTGAATATAAACAACTTTCGAATAAGACATCATAATGTAAAACAAGAAGAAATTGTTCACTTCCATTTAATTTTTGTAAAATTAACTGAGGCTTCTAAAATGGAAAATGTTATTAATTTAGTAATTTATCAATATTACCTTGAACACAATTACACAATCTTAAACTTCTATGGATGTTGCAGAATGCCAAAGTTAAACTTAGAAAAAGATATCTTGAACTCAATTGAACATGTTTTATAGTAAGGACTGATGGTAGATTTGACAGGTAAATCACATAGCCAATGGCAAGAAGTGGTTCCAAGAAAGGGGGAAGTCTTATCTATTGAGTGACAGTATAACTTTGAATGTAGCCAAGAAGCTCTCATATTCAAGTAATGATGTTTTGTCTTGCTTCCATAGATTCATAAACATATTGGTATATGATGTCATTTTTGTAAAACAATAAGATATGATAAATTGATGGGCAATGATGTACAAATTGACCAAAAACCAGTATTTTGTCGGTGAAATTTACATTTTGAAAGATTTGTAAATAATTTGATAAGAACATATATTCTGCTTATGTTATATTGATACTGCAAAAGAAGTTTGACGGTTTTCTGTACTTGTAAGATTTTAAAAATTATTGTTAAATACATTCAGCATCTGAAATTAACTTCAAGTTTCACATAAACAATTTAATTTTAAATGAACTTCACTTTGGTTTTGAATATAAAAATATTAAGCCTGGATCAGTTATTAGTTAATAAAGATGTATTTTGCTTAGGATCTCAAATTATGTTAGAAACATAAATATATTCGTCATTTATACACTTTGAATCTTCAAGTTTAGACATCCTGTCTATGGAATTTCATTGGAATTTTGACGAGTTAATTTTGAATTATTTGGTTTTAATATTTAAAAATAAATACTGTTCAAACTTCAAACTTTCTTTTGTCTTTTGGTGACATCAGCCAGGGGTAACTTTGCCACAATAGCCTCCACTTTGACAAAACACTGAAATGTCATGCGTCCCAAATTTGGAGGGGAAGTGTACGATTCAATGTTTGTCCCTGCCATTCTTCATGGCTGTCCTATTTTCACATTTAACAAAACTAACACAGATAAAATGAAATCAATGCAATATAACACTGGGAGATCAATTCTCCAAATTAGATGTTGTCTGGCCAGAGAGGCACTTCTAGGTGATTTAGGCTGGAGACCTCTTGTCGATATCATTGAATAAAGACAAATAGATTGCTTTATATACGAAAATGTAATATCAAAGAAGGTTAATTACACGAAAAGATATTTAAGTCTATGTTTGATGGCTTCATACTAATGATGAAAGCAAAGCATCCCCTTACTTTTCAAACATAAAATAATAAAAATGGACTGAATAATGTAATCTACAGAGATGATATTGACTGGTATCAGGCTTTTATCAAGATGTCAGATCAGAGGATTAATAATTTTCAATCTGCATTGAAGGACAACTCATCACTCTCACTGTATCAACGTCTTAATCCCCATCCCTTCTTAAAAACTACCTGACCACAGATTTTGACTTCTGTGGGCAAAAACTTAAGTTCAAAGCTAGATCAGGTTGTTTTGGCTTAAGAACAGAATACGAAAAATGGGGACAGGGAAATGGAATGTGTACTTTATGTGATAAAAATGTAAAAGAAACCATCCGACATAGACTTTTTGTTTGCCCTTTCTTTGGTAATGATAGAAATACTTTTTATAAAAATGTTATAGAAAAATGTAATCCAGCACTATCATCAGATCTTTTATCAACCAGTGTGCAAACTAAAACATGTTGGGGTTAAGAAGAGGACATTTTCACATTTTCGGGACAAGAAGAAGCTTTTAAGTTCGATAAATGTGTAAAGGGTCTTTTAAAATGTATATATAAACCCCAGACCCATTAACATGTTCTAGGTACTTATATTTAATGACTATTCACTGATGTATGCTTTTGTGTTGTTAAATGTCTGGAAGAATCGTGTACACTGTAGTTGTGTTCCACTGTATTAAAAGCATTTCCAATAAATAAATAAAATAAAAATAATTATAATTTGCAGCTTGACTTATAAGTAGGTTTAAATCGAGTAAACAGAAAACTTGTGTAACGATCCTTGGGCACGCCCGTCGGGGAGCTGTAGTGTACCGAGCCAGATACTAGACTCGAAAGAGAGTGTGCTAAATGCAATGCCCCGTACGGAGATCGAACCCAGGACCTTCCGCTCTCGAGTCACTCTACCCCTGAGACATAAGGGCTAGCTACTACATATCGAAGGTCATTACACCATCCCTCTAGAAGACGACGTCCCGTCGTAACTGATTCTCAAGTGCAATACCATAACTTCTGACAACAATGTAACGACCCTTGGGCACGCCCGTCGGGGAGCTGTAGTGTACCGAGCCAGATACTAGACTCGAAAGAGAGTGTGCTAAATTCAATGCCCCGTACGGGAATCGAACCAAGGACCTTCCGCTCTCGAGTCAGACACTCTACTCCTGAGCCATAAGGGCTGGCACTACATCTGAGACTGTAGTAGCGACTTGCTATCGAAGGTCATTACACTCGTAAAGTGGAAGTTCGTCCATTTTGTTCCGTCAAAGTAACTAGTTGTGGAACAGTGATATCACTGAGTTGCATTGTTGACCGACCGTGTAAGATTTTAGTTTTCAAAACCTACCTCATTTTTTGTTTAAAGTCCTTAGCTTGGCATCTAGATAACAATGCGTGTAGACCCCTATTGTCGTGACAATCTTTATCTTTGTATCCATCGTTATGAGCAAAACGCAACCTGAATTATAATGGAAAAATACAATAAACTTTCAAAGTATTCTCAGTATTATAATGGAAGGATTGTATGTGCATCGAACCTTTTTAAGAGGAAAAAATTACATTGGATTACACGTTAATAGACAATCTTTCATGCAGGAATAGCATCTGCCAGACCGAAGACTAGACAAATAAACCGATAGACATGTGACTGATTGTCTACCATGTTAGCTTGAAGAAAAACGCAATTCCAAAATTTAGGCTTATGTGTTGTATCACCCTAGGCCTGTATATTATATACTTACAGATGTCCAAATTCATGACGAACCTCCTGATAGTGCTCGAAGAATGCCTCAAGGGCACAGACATAGCTTGAACCTCCCAGACCACACAAACCACCAGACCAAGCCCAACCCAAGGCCCCGCATATCACCCTACAAATTAGAAATAGTCTTCAAAAATATGCTTATGTAATAAGTAGGGCTTTTGAACCGGTTGCTAAATTAACAGCACACACTATTAAAATCTAATAACTTAAAGCAAGTTTCTAACAATGTTCAGTATACATTACTTTTTCAATGAACAGAAATCAGAACTGTGAATTCTTGAAAAAAGTTTTGTGATTCTTCTTCCTGATATTGCCAAGAAAGGAGCACGTAGGTTATCGCAAACAATTTCAGAAGGTTATGTCTTGGATTATGACTATTTTCTGACAATGAAGACAGGTTTTCTTTTAGATCAATTCATTATCTCAAAGAAAATTATATAGAGTAATAATAAAGTCAAACAAACTCGGAGATATTTAACTAGCAATCAACCCATCAACATACTATTTCAAAGATGTTGACCCCATTTTCACCAAAAATGCAATCATTTTTTACAATGTTTAATGCATTACTACTCTCTATTTTGATTTAATTTTGATTGCTTTAAGATAACTGTTCTCCATGGTATTTCTCCATTGAAAAATCTCATGCTATCCATTGGTTTCAGTTAATTTTGGTCATCCAAATTCTGTATCTTTAAAGTCGCTGGAGCAATCAACTGTTCCTTTTAGGAAATCGAACATGTCTCAAAGCACATTCTAATTATGCATTCAACAATATAATAAAATGTTGCATTTTTGGTGAACATTAGGTCAACATTTTTGAAAAAGTATGTTGATTGGTCCATTTCTTGAAGATAATGAATGGATCGAAAAGATACACCCGTGTTCATGATAAGAAAATATTCATAATTCAAGTTAAAGTCGTTTGAAATTGTTTGCATAACCTAGGTGCTCCTTTTCAAAGTAAACATTTCAAAATTATTTAACTAAAAAAGTTGCATATTAGGTTCTAGGTTACCGCTCTGTCATTTCAAAAATATATCATAGAAGGAATAAGCTTCAATTCTTCCAAGCATCTCACTTAATTTAGCAAATGTTAATATTAGGGCAGAATTCGGTAAGATCAGAAAACGTACGTGTCATGAAATGCCCCGATGTCCCACGTTTTCCTGTCTGGATGCTTTCGCATCCATGTTGAACAATCTCCTAAATCCATACACTGCCCGGTGTAGTTATACCTATCCGTAAAGTTACGAAGAAACTCTTGCTGCAAAATATAGTTAAAGCGTGCCCATTAGAATAACATAACCCAAATTGAAATCACACATTTTAAGTACATGCACAATATAACGTGTATGTTTCTCACATGAATTAAAATTTATTTTGTGCCATGCTATGTTTGACATAAATGCTGATGTGACGCATCCGTAGAATAAGTAATACTTAAAGAAAAATAAATACCGGGGTGGTCTGGAAGAACTCTACTCTTGTAACTGTCACTTTAGCAGGATGCACCATCTTGGGGTCTCTCCATCTCGCCCCAACCTAAAATAGTGGCAGATAAAGTTAGTTAATTAAATAATAGTTCCAAAGATAAATCATTTCATCTAGTTATAGCACTAGTTCGCATTAGAAATTCATAAAGATAGTATGTACATGTACGTCTAGATTTTAGACATTTCTTTTATCATCAAGTTGTCAGTCAGTAAAAAATAACTGGGAGAAATGTTCCAATCCATTTGTATTGAACATTATGTTTATCATAGATTCCATTAAGAAGTACGTATTTACGTTTTAACGTATTTCTGAAATGCGTGATTAAGAGATGTCAGCAAAACATAAAGGTTGCAATATGTAAAATTTTAAAGAAACACGTCACCAATTTTGAGGAAAATTTGGATATATTTTGTATTTCCAGTGTTGACTGATCCTGACTCAATGCATTGAGTCAGGATCAGTCAACACTGGAAATACAAAATATATAGTTAGTTAGTATTAAATATGATTACCATACCGAGTTATATAGTACAATGATGTAGCTTGTCATAAGTGAGAAGTCATTGTTGTATTTTGCTCTTATCATTTCTGTGGTCCGGCTTGCAATAAAAACTGCAGTTTCAAAATTCACTGGTCTGTCTTCCATTGATTCAGCGCCTGAAACATGAAATAGTACTGTATGCGTCGCAGGATAAATATCTAAGTTGATATGACACACATTAATTTTGCCATTTCTTTATGTACCCGAGGCCCTGACTTAATAGTATAACTGTAGCACATGTCCAAATGGTTGCTGGGTGGTGTGGGACTTTTACTTCGAATTCATTAAAATAGAATTAAGACTCATGGGTACAGTGTATCATGAATCATCTTTACCTGCTTCACAAAGAAGTTTGAATGTGTTGCTAGAATCGTTACATGGTACTGCATTGAACATAAGTTGTCCATTTGATATGATCAAATTCAGACAACGTTTAGATGTATCACTCATATCCCCAGCCATCCTTCCAAGTCTTGCAGGCTACAATCATAATAAAATAATTTCATGTTAAATGAAACCTAATTTTATCCTCAATACGAACAGCTGTAATGACCCCACACATAACACATTCCCAATTTGTCTAAAAATGTTCTCAATAACCCCTAATTATATGCCTGATAAAAAGTTTGAGAGCGTTCCCTCAATACAGATGGCATGCATTTGGCAAAAGGAGGTCACATATTTTTGATATAGGATCTAGCTACCTTGTTCCAGGCCCCTAGATCCCAGCCCCATCTTCTGGGAATATCCTGTCCTATCTCAGTCCCACTAGTCATCCATTCATCACTAGGAGTACCCTTGTTTTTCAACAGTTGTTCAATAAATATGGTCTCATTCTGGGAATCGATGCTGACCAATCTAATAAAACACAACACGTATATAACATTTACACTAGTGAGAATGTCGCCTATAAGCTGAGCAATGTGTCATTCAGTTACCTAATTTGATAGTAACCGTATGTGCTAGATTTTTTTAAATTTATTTCGCCATAAATTATATGATACTGTATGTAGTATAGCTCTATTTAAATTGATGATTTCAATGTTTACCTTGCTCCCAAATCTTCGCATGCATCTTCTGCAGCAACATGACTACCATACGTTTCAGAGGATTTTATCCAATAACAATGCTCTTCAAAGTAATGGCCTCCCTCTTTCAAACAGGCTACAATAAAACAAGGAGGGACGTAACAAGATTGACGAATAAAAGTAGAATTAAGAAATTAATTAATTAGAAAAGTAAAAGTATCATTAATAAATATATAAAACTCGTAAATGCAAAACATTACCATCTTCTCTCATGTTTCGAAGACCCGCAAAATCTGAAAAAGGAATCGAGATATAGATGAAATATAAAACTAGTGAACATATTTTATAATTGCCATATCTGAGCTTTAATTAAAATCTTTATCTGTAAATTGCAATTGTCAGTAGAATTACGCACGAGAGTATCAAATGGTGGAAAAACGCAATAGGGGTGTTTAAGCTTGTATACAATACTATAATGTTGTGGTCGAGTGAATCAAATGTCTGAATTTTTGAAAAAGATCGTATATACTCTTAGAGAACCTTACAGAAAGACATGTATATAGAAAACCATAATTTTGCACTATTTATTAGAGATTGAACTAATGGACAAATCCGAAATTCGTTAGGATATTTTTTAATACTCAGACAAGAATATTTCATAATTTTTAGGATCTCATCATATTAAATTTGCAATTTAGAATATCATATTTCAAAAATACGTGTACACTTGCTATAAAAATCATATGCATACCATCTGCACACGTTGGTACAGCGCAGTAACTCCATCGACGTTCTTTACTAGTAGTATAACACCATGGCCCACCCGATTCCCCATCAGGATTGCTGTAAGGATTTTGGAAAGTGTTTTGGACGATTGCAACTACTATACAAGATAAAAGAGACGGAGGCCATTCAAAAGATGGTGCGATATCAATGCAATGACCTGCATTTTTCATGGAAAGAAATGTTGTACAACTGGGAATTTGCCATCTGCTTATATTAGCGAATTTTATATGACAATTGTAAAATTTACTTACCGACAATAATTGGATGCTTCGGAAAGGGTTTCATTATTTGGAAAATCATTATTATGTGAACTGCCGATATCATGACTCCAGGTTTCTTTGCTGTCCCATCTCTGGCATGTATAACCATCTGCTGTCTCACTTAGTGTACCTGAATATTCCTTGCCTTTCCTAGAGACCTTGCAGGTTTTGGCTGAAATTTGAGAGGTTAAGCTTTGCATATATAATCGAAACTGAGCCTGTACGTATCACTCGACCATATACAAATTCATGTAGCCTTCTTATATAAATAGCCGTTCAAATCCAGTGTTTGTTTAGACTACACCATAGCGTGTAATGATTCTATAGTATGTCATTGATGCGGTTTTATGGCTGGTTTTCTAATACATATTTTAAACGAGCTCGTTTCGTAAGATTTTTGGCGCTAAATCATGCATGACATACATCATCGTGTTCAGCAAGAATTCTACTGTGCATCGAAATCAAAATTGACAGCATAGTGTTCAATAGACACGAGTACAATGGTTCCCGTTGACCCAACGTCAAATTTCAAATTATCCCGTTCTAAACCCGAAACTCTGATGCTGAACGAGTATCTGAAGTAGACTAAGCGCGCATAAAACTATGAGCGCTCGAAACATTCCTTTGTTAATTTTTGTACTTTGCGTTCACGGTTACGTTGTGAAAAACATGTTAGCTTAACCTCTTCAGTAAAGAAATTTTAGCTGTGCGCCCGGGCCTGTGTTTCGAGGAAAAACTATCCTATTTTGACGTAGATTAGTTTCCCATTATTAAAGTAGCAAAAACTTGTTTATGATCTTGTAATATTGATGACATAAGCAAACATAAATATAATTTATAATTTGAATGTCATGAAAATGAGTATAGTTTTCCAAAATGTACGTTCAATCGAAATTATATCACAAGTGCATTAAATGTGAAGAGAAGAATGGAAATTGACGAAGCTTACCGGTTCTACAGGATAGTTCGAAGTAATTGATAACTTCGTTTCCAGCATTTCTTACAGATACATCGGTTTTGCTCAGTCTACACTGTTTGCTGTTTGTGTTAAAATCACAAGCTTTGCAAACAAAGGTGGTTTCTTTAAGGCACGCTGCCTTACAGCCATCAGTTGAGGATGTCGTGATTGTTTTATGAACTGGTCCTTTTAGAACAATCCCAGGTTTGCTTTCAAACACTTTGTCAAGACACACTGTAAAATATTTTAATATCACAAGTACGCGAAGCAGTGTATGCATGCACTGCCGTTCTACACTTGGCTTAAAATATAAGGATACGGTTCATAACTGATATTATCACGCTTTCACGTTTTTACTTATCATAGAATATTTAATTTTGAAACAAGGATTCATTACAGACTCTTCTATGCTTGAGTAACGAGTATTTTCAAAATGTCTTAAGTTTTGAACAAAATACTAAATCGATCCGCCACCGGCTGATGAATCGGACTTAATGTGACCCAGGCATTACATATGACCCATTTATGCATAATCGCTTTTAAAAGATTCAAAATAGGTTATGATCAAAAGATTAGAATAATTCATTTCAATTATCAAAAAGCTGAATCTAAAATTGTTGGCTTTTGAATTTTTACGGTTTGCATAAAATTAATGAGATTCACTGAGTCGGTATATATATATATATATTTTTTTATTACTTTTTTATTCATAGACTCGGAAAACAGTCGGTATATTTAATTACATTAAACTAAAGTGGCGTGACAGCGACCCTGCTACACATGTATATCTACCTTCTTTGCTCGTAACAAGTTGATCTTGTGAATCTTGTAGAACTTTGTCTTTGTCTGCATCTCGTTTTGGCCTAACCACCAACTTCTCATGTTTGGCTATGTCAATCTGGTATATCACGTGATCGGAATTGTCCAATCCTCGCTTGTTGATTGAGGGCTCTCCTGTCACTGATGATGGTTCAATTGCACGTGCTGTACCATCGGTGAATTTTATGATTGCGATCTAAGTGAAATTGAAAGAGCATTGATTTAACAATAGACCACAATAACACTATAGATATTTCAGTAATACAAAAAACTAATGCAAGGGTAATATTAAGTTAAGTTAAATTACGTGAAGTTGACACACAGCCATATTTTATATCCATTTTGGTCAAAAATTGATGAAGAGTAGCCCATCCTAATATTTTATCTGGGCTAGTTTGCCTTGCTTTTAACAGTTCCACTGAGTTCACATACTGTAAAACATATTTTTGTTTTTAAATTGTTTTAAAATGATATTTAGAATGTTAATGAGGGCTGCCATTTTGAATTTATGATTTCAAAATGGCCTTTTGCAAGTATAGGAGGATGTAATGATCTAATCCTTCTGAAAGGTTTTGAAAACCTAACTCCCATGTATCTTATCTCTAAATACATAAAATATTTTGAGTATGATATCTGGCATTTTCTCCTATACCTGATACTAAATTAAACTGTCAAGCGGGCATTTTGCATTGAAAGTAGAAAAATAGAATTAAAAAGGTAAATCGACATGCACAATTATTAGACTCCAGATTGAAAATCTGGAGTCTATTGCTTTTGCCTGTATTCTTATTATTCTTATTATTCTTATTAGCACGTTTTCTCAGTAACTAGAAGACTTGGAGTAAATCTAATTACATGGTCAGTTAGGGGATGTGACCTAGTTTCTGGGAAATAAGGTCAAATTTTTATCTAGGTCAAAGGTCAAGAACTAGGTCAAATCCAGTACTTTGTCACTTTTTTCGATTTTCTCGGTCGTCCTTCAATATTTTCGATCCGGTTTTTTTTCATTGTGTTCCTCATAAAAAAGTAGAAAAGCTAGGGTCGATTTAGTTTTTTGATATCTCAAACCGATTTCGAGATATCAGTGTCCGAAAATGAGGTCCAAAAAAAGTTCTCCAAATCAAATGTCCAGGATATTAGTCTTATAGGAAATTTTCTCAAGATTCCGAATCTGAAAACGAAATTGTGATCCGACTTCCGGTTCAGGAGTTAACACATTTTGAAATTTCAAAAAAATGATATGATGGTACCCTGATGGCATGTCTACCTGACCGTTAATTTTCTCATTTCTCATTAATATCAAAGTTCAAATTAAAGTTTTAATAGACAATTTTCTCAGGATTCCGAATCTGAAAACAAAATTGAGATCCGACTTCCGGTTTAGAAGTTATGGGCTTTTGAAATCTCAAAAAAATCCCACCGCTGCCACCAAATTGTAGCAATCTCAACCCTTTCATTAATATCAGATCTCAAAATGGTTTTGAGATAAACAATCTAAATCTGGAGTCTTGAATTGAACTTGTTCAATTTCTCCAATCTAGTTTTACATAGCTTTCCGTGATAATTCAAAATTATGTGAAATACACTTACTGTCTTTCCTCCGCATGTGGACATGCTTACTGTGCCAGTAGCTGTGCCTTTATCTGAAACAAAAGAGATGAACATTGAACAAATCACTCATATAGTCGATGGACATACAAATATAGTCCATAACAATTATTTTTTCAAACGATCAATTAATCGACGCTATGGTTGATCTTTGAATCTAATGTCAAACCAATAACTTTAAGCAGTAGCAATATTCTCAATATCCTCGTGTATTTTTTAGATGATGAAGGGAACGAGTGAATATATCATATACTCACGAGAGTATAACGATATTCAGAATCAACCATTATATGATCTTATTATATGATCTCACCCTAATCTTTCATCAATAAAAGGTTAATCTAAATTCAGCAGTTGTACAGGGCTGTATATCAAGTCGAAGAGTTGTATACGCTGCCAAGGAGTTGTATACGCTATCCAGGAGTTGTATATCGTTCTCAAGAGTTGTATACGATGAGTGTTGGTTTTATATTGCAGTTATACAATGCTATTATACAATCATATAAAGCACTTAGGGTGGGATGATTCTTCATATATGAAATAATTCACTAAATAAAATTCGATACATTGGATCAGATAAAGAAATAGAAAATAAAAAGTAACAGAACAAAAAGTATCAATGAAAAAAGAATCCCCAGCATCTTAATCTACGATATTTAAACCTGCACATTGCTCTAAAACACAATATTTCGACATACATTATTTTCATATTTTCGTACAGCCAACAAGATTACTTAAGCTCTAGTGTAAAGTTGGCATGATTAAAAGCTGTTTTCTGCGTAAATTCAAAGCACAATCATGAAGTTAAAAAGCAAAATTAGAAATTTAGAAATCTTCCAAAAATAATATTGTCGGCGACAAACGAAGCAATTCAAAGAACAACCCTCATTATGACACATTTATCGTGAGTATTTGTACACAAGATTTGCCCCACTTGTTCACCATTGTATGTATTTTCATTAAAGCTCAAAATCTTACAGTTGGCCCTAGAACAACCCAAGATTGTGTTCTAGAGCGATGTACAGGTTTAATAGTTAAGCCAACGACATTAGTACATTCATAACATATAATATATATATATCGGTACGTTCTATATTGGAGTTATTCCGTGTAATGCCGTTTAACCTGAAATATTTCTGTAGCACTTTTTTAGTACCTTTCCTCTAAGGAGTATTCAAAGGATGAGTCTGGGAATGAGTCTGGGTATCGACTTAGAAAATATTGAAAATTGTAATGTCTGAAAAACCAACTCAATCACACATATAATTAAACTTCAATATCTTATCCTTCTTCTGAGATTACAAATATATAAATTTGAATCACAATTGATGAAGAATATTGGCATCAAAGACAGTGCATATCACTTTGTCAGAATTGAAAAAAAATCAATGGCAAATATCAAATGAATTATTTTTACAAAAAGTTTGAAACATATCCTCCAAAATGTTGCTTACTTTCTTTGTATAGACATTGAATGGTATTTCTGGATAAGTGAATTGGTGTTTATCTGGGTAATCAAGTGATTATAGTCACTCAAAGGTACTGAGCATCCAGTTTTGAGACTTCAATTGTGTTGGTGAAGTTACACATATTTCAGTCAAATTCATGCTGAGCACAACATTTTGGTTTCAATTTTATAATCTTTATACATGACCCTGGTGATGAAGAGTCAGAATCAGTCAAAAAACCTAAACCGGAAAACTGTGCTCATTGTGAAAACTAAAAGTGAAGCAACTTTTTTTCTGATATTTCTTACATCAAATGGCAGCCATCTTGTTTTTCCCCCTTCAAATTAAACTGGCGGGAAATTCAAAAATTTAAAAAAAAGATTTAATCCTTAAATATATTTCAAAAAAATGATTATCTTTTTAATTCTTCATGGATATTAAGTTATATCTTCCTTGTATGTCATACATGTTGCCATTGGTGTTTTTTCTATAAATAATGACCTTTTTTATTTGTTAAGATACTTATTCTGACTCTCAGCAGGGGGTTAATTATGCATCAAAACTCGTGAAAAAGTAAATATACTTATTAAATATAACTAGGACAGTAATAAAAACCATATTTCACATACATTTGACTGAGGGACCAAAAGGGCATATATCCGGACACATCCTTTTTAATTCATGAAATGAATCTATCATTTCAAAATCAAAGTAAAATTCCTTTGGGATCGTGAACATATCAAGCTTCTTCTCTAATGTGTGACAATAATGAAAGCTAGTCTGTGCATGCCAGTATGTTCTTCAATGCAAAACAATCCATTCGTTAACATTCTTAAAATGAGGGTATCCAAACACAAAGATGAAAATATCACTCCGTGCACACATTAATCGATCCAGCAGTTTAATAAGGCCTATTTGAAGACCACAAAAGCCATTTTCCAACTCTTATTGAAAGCTCATTGTACTGACCAATGAGGATTAATTTCTAGCATATTGATAACAAGTAAGTTACCCTGCGTGCAGAGTCTAGTTAAAGAAGACGAAGCTCTCTTTTAAGAAGTGAAGTCAAACGAATGCAAAGGGTACAAGTAAGTGGTTACCTGTTGCAGATATGGAAGATCCTTCTAGAACAACGCAGTAGGCTTCGGTATCAAGTGTAAATTGTACGGATTCGGTGTCATTGTCCGCCGTGTATATCACTTTTGTTGATTGTCCTGCACTGCGACGTCTTAGAGCCATCTTATGAGTCTCGGAAGCAGACTGATAAAAATACATGAAATTATTAGTATTAATTTATTTCCTTAAAAAATATTCTACAAATGACATAACATGAAGTGGGAGATGACAACCAAGAATAAATTAACTCCATGTAATATACAGGGTGTCAAATAAATATGTTCTCCCCTCAACTTTAACATCCACAAAATGTTGCTTAACTTTTTTGTCTGTATGATATCTGATCATGAATTGTTCTTTGGCACCTTAAAACTTGGCTCCATGGAACAACTCTGCATGAAGTGTCAGATGACTAGCTCAATTTTGTGCACAAAGGTTTTTTACTCCTGAAATCAAGGGGAATATATTTATTTGACACCCTGTACAAAAAATCATACGAATTCAAGCTATGCTCATTTTTATTTTGATATAATTATAATTAGTTTAAATAGAAGGATCCTGGGAGACAAGTAAAAGTATGTACCCGAATTGTCAGGAACACCGGTTCTTTCTGGTTGAGGCTACCTGATTCAATATCTCGTTTATGCTGTTCATGGAACGCATGTACATTATCATGTAGCAGATTGCCATCCTCGTCAGTGAACTCTATATGTGCATCATAGAACTGAACACATTCCGCAACTGTGATAATCTGAATGAAAAATTCAGTATGCCTATTTTCTTGTTATAGATATTGTGTTCAATATAATGTTTGAACTGGACAAAAGCAACAACTTAAAATATATGCATATTCAAAGTAAGGTTTGTTAAAAAGTCAGTACTACTTACATACAGTTGTGTTGTAGCACTTAAAATAAGAGTTATAACAACTAATAATTACTCTTGTAATTCTATTCCTTTGTATTCTGATTATGAGAATAAAGGATTGGTATCGATATGGAGAACTGAATTCAACAATGTTTTTCTCTTAAACCAATCTTTGAAAACATTCTGTAAAAACACGGTAGGCCCTATTTTATGTATGGTAGGGTTGACTGATTGACAACAATTTAATGCGAAAATTATTTAGAAATATTTTATATAACTGTTTTTGTTAACACTTTTTGTTTTTCTTGTGCAATTGTTTTTGCTCCTTTCTACCAATTCTTGAGAATGAAATAAAATGTCTTTCCGAACCTTGTTGGAACAAAATAGCATATACAACATGTTTTTAGACCTCTCAATATTATAGTTATACAAAGGAATTTTTTGGTTGATTTTAAAAAAGTATTAAAAAATTAAAACAAAAAACCCCTAAAATAGATAAAAATCAAGATAAACCTTTTTTTTCATTAGCAAGATACTTTTATAAAATCAACCAAAATCTCCTTTGTACAATTACAATATTGAGAGACCTAAACATGTTGTGTTTATGTCGTTTTGTTCCAATGAGGTTCGGAAAAATGTTCCATTTCACTCTGGAAACATGATTCCAAGAACAAAGCAAGTGTTTGATGTGTTTTCTAAAACAATAAAGATGAAAGTATATATATATATATTTTTCAAATTATATTGTTACCATTCAAAAGATGACCATTATATTGACGATGTTTTTAGATTTTTTTTATAACTGGTTTAAGAGAAACATGTGTTAAAAAGTTCTCCATATCGATACCACTCCTTTTGAAAAAACTATTTACGTTTACATACCAGCGCAATGGAGAGAATTCCCAAGTTTAGTACTTGTAGTCCCATCGTGGAGACCTACCCTGGCTGCTGTCAGTCGTGGATAGGATGAATATTTAGGAGATGCATTATTTAAAGCAATCGGAAAAGAAATTAATTGCCCAATCCCCCATAATGAACTGACAAATAGCAGGGTATTAGTTTTATATATTTTTTAATATTTTTTTAGATACTGGGTACACGTCTGGTATGACAGTAAAAATTAAAAAACTCACAATATGTTTAGCCTTATTACGCGGGCCCAATTATTGTCATTATGATTATTATAAAGTTTTATCATACTTGTGATATTTTGAATGGCTGATGAATAGGCGATTTATATCACGCCATGTCCTATTTAGTATTTGGTTCAATGATCTACTAGAATTATATAACTCATGATCAAATAGATTGTTTTCATTACTGAGCTTGGTGAATTAGTCTTCGAGATGATGTGAAATTCGTCTAGTCAAAGATAGATAAATATAGAATCATAAAATAAAGCCAGCATTGTTCAATTGCGTTTTTTATTGTTTGTCAAAAAGCGTCATTAAAGGGCCGCTCAATAGGGAAAATTTACGCTAAATTAAATCTAAGCATGTTGGGATTTGCCAAATTGAACTCTGCATTTCATTTCATTAATCACAGCATGAGTACTACTTTTATAGTGAACGAGCATTTCAATTGTGCAATTTTGATGAAAGAAAAATAGCAAAGATAAACAATTGTGCAATTCTAGCCACCTTTGAATTAAGAAATATAGACAAAAGAGCAGGGTTTCTAGTTTCGAATAACACCCAGCTGGTCTCGGCACAAACGTTTTCTGTACCCCGAACGACCGAATTATGCTTGCAATGTGTTTTCAATGTAATCAAACGCACAATGTGAATTCACCGCAAAAAATATGATGCGCTTATATTGTCAAAATGTCGATAATTCCTGATCGACGACGCGTGGTACGTACACGGATATGTTTCATTTCTTCATACGCGTGAAAGGATGCCGTCTACGTGGTCTGCCGAGACATATTTCAGAAATTATTCCAGTTTTGACTGGGTCTGTTTTGGGTCTCTGGTATAAAGTATATACTTTCCGATGGATATGTTTCACTGAAAGGTCATTAACACGTTGTGTAATTTATGTAAATTTATCTTGATACACAAACATATTTCATCACTATATAGCTAGTATAATTCTAGCATAAGTGATCAGCACAAAATTCAAAATTCCATATCTAGGTTTTTATCTAGGTAATTATGATATAACAATGATGACAAAGTGATTTCAAATCTTTCAATTCGAAAATTAAATCGGACGAATTATATTCCATATTATATTCCAGATTCTTAACCATATTTTTGCACTTTGGTCGACCTCTACGGACAGTTTAGTTTTTCATAACACAAGCCCGTATATCTAGAGCACAACGATACGATATACGATGCGATTTATATTTTATGATAATTAAATGTATATTCGGAATCATGCACATTAGTAAAGTAAACGTACATTATAATGATACTGTATGTGGGCATTTACGATTATTGATATTTTCAAATATAGTGAAATTCTGTTGTTCTACCAAAGCCTGTGCCATGTGTGTTAATATAAACGACATTTAATGTGCGCTATTTTAATGTCAACACAACTGGCTTTAACGATGATTTTTTTTGACAAAAATCATCAGAAAACATAAAAATAATGTGTTATGTGCTTCGATAATTTCCAACTTGTTAATAAAGTATGTTTGCAACAGGCTCTCAAAAGGAGATTGTTTGATATTTCATGTTCATAAAACAGAATGCTAGTACAATAACGTCATTTCGAAGGGCAATATATACAGAATATCGCATCATTTTGAGTGATATCATTTTTTATCGCCGAGTTGATATCAAATATCAACACGAGTGAGCGAAGCGATAAAATGATATCACGAGAAATTATGTGATATTGGGTTTATCCCATGATTACAGTAAGTAAGTAAGTAAGGTATTTATTAGAGTCTCACGCTGTACAATTTAAAATACATGTTGATACAATTGATTAAAACAACAGCTCAACCGGCTCCGGCTTATGAGAGACTTAAAGATCGAATAGTTCTATGAGTATAAAATGTCTAAAAATGTAAATCTAATATTGCACCTTGTATTATATTACACTTCATAGCATCTTCGTGTTATCATGATTTTATTTATTGTTTTCGCTATTAGTCTTTGTACTGATATAGTGTTCATCATTGTGCAATATTTGCCCATGCTCGATAAGTTGTTAAAGTCCGGTATTTGAAGAGCACATGCTTCTATAAGGGTTTGTCTATTGTCATCGTGTAGGGGACAATCAATTAGGATATGGATTTCGTCTTCAACACTTTGGTTGCATAAGCATACTCTGTCGTGTAATTCGACACCTGTGAATCGCCCGGTTTCAATTCTTATAGGGAGGGTTCCTGATCGAATTCGTGCCAAGAAACTACGTTCATATTTATGCATAGGTAATTGAACGTACGGCTCAGGGGTTGTCGCATGCGGTTTATGTAGTCTATATGTTCTTAGTTTATTGCCATGTTCTTGGTTTCTGCGATCGTTCCACAATGAATGATGCCAAATTTCATGTTCAGTAGAGCTCAAACGATGTCCTAGTTGTTTCAAATGTTGTTTCACATTAGGAATTTTATCCTGCGTTATTAGCATTTCAGCTCCGTTGTCTGATAGCAGAGTTTTTACTTTTGATTCCCAGGAACCGCGTAGGCTAAGTGACCAAACATGTATTTTCTTAAGTGTTCGCTGAGGGGACATGTTTTTAATGCGGCACCACATCCGTGCTGATTCGATATTGTGTCGTGTATCAATGCTTGTCCAGCACATGTCTCCTTGTACTGCCGAGTTGGGGGCATGTTGGCCCACACCAAGAAAGAATCGTTGTGCCTTGTTTTGTACAACGGTCGCAGGCGCAGTTGTCGCTTTATTAATGCCCCAAATTCCAGAGCCATACGTCAGCACCGGTGCTACGAGTGAGTCATATACATGAGTAAATACGTCGTACGATAATCCTCCTGTTGCTCTTGACTTGGCCATTATTGCACCAAGTGCCCGTGAACCGGACTTGGCCAGCACTGTGGCGGTTGCCACCATATCCATGTGCTCGTTGAGTGTAATTCCAAGGTATTTGTAACTCGATGTATATTCTTCGAATTTGCACCGGCCATTTTGATTTGTACTTTACTCACTGCGCAGTAATATGCACTACTTTCTGATATAGTTCGTCATGAATACCATTTTTAATCGTTATTAAGCAGCCTTCTAATCAAATTATATACACACTCGTAATTCAATACACCAATGAAACCTAAAGAGAATAAGTTAACGGACCTGTTTTCTCAAAAGAGAATAAATTATCTGACCTAATTTCGAACACTATTGTGGCGCCAAATGCAAATGTGATATCACACGGATATGCGTGAGATAAACGATATCACACGCATATGAGTTTGATAAACCATTTTCTGGAAAATATCACACGGATTTCAATAATATCAGAAATATCAATAGCTGTTATTGTACAGATAACACATTAATCGTGGGATAAAGTGAAATATTGGACCGAGGGCCGAAAGCAGAACCCCTAGAACTGGCCCGTGGTAATAATATAAGTTATTGAATGATTTGAAGTGCAACACAGGATATATTCTGCTCGAGAAATTTCGTATTGGAACGAGACGAAGTCGAGTGCCAATACAGAATATCGAGACAGGATACAGTTATATCCTTTATTGCACGTTAAATCATTCAATAACGTTTTTATCGTGTGATCCTCTGTATTGCTACTGAGATTGTCCCCTCCGTACCAATATTTGCTGTATTGCGACGGAGATGATCAACGGAGAGTAGCAATACAGATTGGTACAGCACAAGAACTGACCAATCAGAGGGCTTCATACAGATCACTCGATAAATTTTAGTTTGTCCATATGATTTGCATCATCCAACACACAGCTTAGTTCAATTTGCCAAACTTATGGAGGGGAGTGTATGTATTGTAACAGTTTCTATATAGTTTATGCAGCATAATGTACATTTTGTTATACATAATATTTTTACTGAAATAATATTTTACATATTCAGATGTCATGCCATGTAATATGATATATTTTCCTGTCTTATGCCAACAATGTAGGTCACATTTGCTCCGATTCATCGGCCGGCATCCGTTCTATGCAGTTTCTTGTTCAAGACTGATTTCAACTTGCTTCAAATTGACCAAACTTTTCAGGACTTCACATCTAACTTCAAGTTTTAAATTTGACCTTCTTTTTTGAACAAAATGTTCAATCGGTCGGTCGGTGGCCGATGATGAATTGGAGCAAATGTGACCTATACTAGGCATTACTGTTTGACACTTGGGTTGGTCAAACATGTTATATGACTACAGTTGTTTTAGACCCAACTTGCTTTACTCTGTTTAGCTACTATGTAACTGCACTGATAGTGATATTAGAGACAACGATAGAGTGTTCAGAAATTTAATGACTTTCCAATCATGTCCCTGTTCCATTCAATTTTCAAGTACACGAAAGGTCTATTCATTATCTTTTCGTTCAGTCTTCCACAACTAAAGAGTGCGTAAATATACCTAGATTATTAGCTGAGCAGATAAAAAAACATGTATTCTTATTTCTTATACATTATAGAATATTATTGACCCTCAATTCTTGCCTGATACTCGCACTCTTTGTACAAAAGTGAGAAAGATATGGACCACAGGTGGGACATGAGTAACATTATAAGAAAGTACTATGTGTACCTGAAAATAAAATTGGACCTACAGACCTATCATGATTTTTTTGTACTACCTTTAGATCAACTATTGTAGAATGGTTTTTAAAAATGCCCGTGGAATAAGTTTACTGTTATATAATAACAATTCTTACTTCAGACGTCCAAATAAAATATAATCTGCAACTTCATTTCTCGTGTTATTAACCCATCGGACTTAGTTTGGGGGGATATAGAGAACGGCTCCGTACGTCCGTT